ATTTAAGGCTGACGAGTATACAAAAGGCGCGTTGGCCCATTTCGCATAAGGTTTATTTGGACCTTACTAGTAATGCAAATGGGCCACTGAGGCCAAATAGCATGTAAAAACCATTGAAGGCCCCTTAAGCATGTAATTGGGTCACAGGAGACCCAATAACATGTATTATTTATGTTGGGCCCAAAAGCAATGTTAATGAGTCACGAAGACCCATTAAGCATGATTAGAATCTCTCAAGCCCAACCATTTGAATGTTTACTTGTTTTGTATAGTATTACTGTTACGAGTTGTTTAATCGATATGTCATAAAAATCACGAATTTGTTTATAACGATTCATAGATTTATAAAAATAGTTATTTTTCTATTTAAAACTCATAAGTTATAAAGATTTGTATCTTTTGACCCAATTATTATTATTATTAACATAATTGACCAAAAAACATTAGTTTGACCTATTCAGCCCCTTATTTTGTAAAGTTGGCAATTTTAGTCCTTTTAAAAAAATGACATATTAGGTCCTTGAACTATTTTTCTTGACATTTTTGACCCAAACACTTATTTAAATAATGTTTTAAGCCCAAAAGTAAATTTTCGGAAAGTTTCAACCCTTTGGTTAAAAGACTTGTATTTTAATCCACATTTTACGCCATTTTTACACTTTTTACCCAAAATCCAAAATCTTTGCATTTTCAATCCTTTTTAGCAAATAAGGTCATTTTAACCCCAGAAATAGATTCATTTACTTTTCTACCCACTGTTTTGAGAAATTTACCATTTCAGCCCCTTAAAACCATATTTTTCGCAACTTTGGGCCTATGGGTCGAAAAGCCCAAAATTTTAGCCCAATAAGCTACAAATTTCATTTTTAGTCCTTTGAAAGACATAACGTTCATAGAAACTTCCATTTTAACTGTTTTGACATTTTGAGCCTTGTAAAAACCGTAAATGACAACTTTTTCCCAAACTTTTGTTTATTTGACAAAAATAGTCCAATAATGAGTTTTATGTTGTAGTGTGTTATTTTTAAAGCTTGTATAGTAGTTTATCTTGACATGTTAAGTGAAATATGACCTAGATCACATATTTTTCCTTCTTGAACTATGGATCTCGAAATATCTTACATTTTTAGCACATATTTACCACAAAAACACAAGAAATCACACATAACATACAAATACACATAGATCTTCACATTTTACTTGTATTCTCCCCCATAAATCATATGAAAACCGAAAACAGAGGGGTATGAACTCACCTTTTCTTGTTGTTTTCGATTTGAAGAAAGAAATGGAAGAGTTTGATGTTATCTTCGGCCCTAGAAAGCTTCTTGAGTGGATCTCGAACTTAGTATGTTTCTAGGAGTATGATCAAGAATTTAAGGTGGTAAGAAGAGTGAATGAGTGTAGAAAGGAAATATGTTTGCAAGATCTTACCACTAGAGTGTAGCTTGAAGTGATTTTTGGATGAAATCTCCTTGAAATGATTCTAATTCTCGAAAGTCTTGATGAGAGGGAAGGGATGTTCTTGAATGTTTTACTTAGAGAGAGTATGAAATGTTTTGTGTGTGTGTGTTGATTCTCGGCCGCAAGTATTAAGAAGAAGAAGAAGAGAGAGAGAGAGAGAGAGTGAGGTGACCCTTATAGATGCATGTTGGTCCATGCATGGAAGTATGAAGTGTAATAAGGAGGTGGCACTACAAATGTCAACCCTCATTTCCCCTTTTTTTTTGTTTTCTACTTGGGCCGAGAGAGAGGGAAGGAAGAGAATGACTTGGGCCTTTTATGCTTGAGTCCATAATATGAGGCCCAATTTGATGGTTTTCGGCCCATTGGGTCTTTACAGTAGGTCACGGCCCAATTTTTGTATAAGAGGATGGATTTGAGTCCATTAAAGCTAATTGAATTTGTTATGGCCCAATAAGGCCCATTAGAGATAAACTAGTCCATTTTAGGCTTATAAGGCCCAAAAAGTTAAGTTTCATGAAAGTGGGTTGAATTAGAGCCCAATTACGAGTTCTAAGCCCAAAATAGTCACATTGGAAGTTTATTGGCCCATTAGGCCCAATAAGGAAATCCTAATCCATAATGTGCTTAAACCGGGATTTCTAGGGTTTTCAACTTTACTTGATGAATCTAGGTTTGAATGTGCTTCCATAGGTTGAATTTCAAGCATAACATGAATTAGGGTTTACGAGTTTACAGTAGATAATGTTTACAAGAGTACAGAATTTTCTAGCTAGAATGCTAGTTGTGACATATATATATATATATATATATATATATAGATATTATATATATATATAATATATATATATATACTAAATACAAAGAAAAATACTTTTTATATGTACATACATTTTTAAACGTGTACATAGGCTTTCATATATATATATATAAATACTAAATAACAAATAAACAAATTTTTTAAAAATGTATTTATATCCTTTAAATTATTTTAATACATGTAAGAACATATTTAAAAATGTATATATAAATTCTTTATACATTTAATAACACATTTAAAATATATAATAATAATAATAATAATAATAATAACAATACTAATCAAAATAATAATAATAATAAACAAAATAAAAATAAAAATAAAAATAATTAAAGTTAATAATAATAGTATCGATATTATAAGTAATAGTTAAGGAAATCAGGAATGAGTACACAAATATAGTTCTAGCCTAGTGGTAAGGTGCTTGGTATCATTGATCCGGAGGTCGGGTGTTCGAACCTTTCTTGTCTTCTTTCTTCTCATGCCGATAATTTTTTAAGCAAGGCTTGCACATAAGACTAAAGGGAATGGCTCGCCACCCTCCCTTGCCAAGCACTTGCTAAAGCCTCACCACCACTCCCTATGCATGTGCTAAGTTGGGTTGCCAAGAGTAGGTCGTTAGTTGTCTGGCGAGAGAAAAGAGAAGATAAGTGGTCCCTATTTGAGTATTTCAGCTTCAAACGGTTGTAATTTTAGCTTTAGCAACTTGTACACTTTTCATAATTTATTTTATTTAAATAGTTAAATAAAAATATATTTTATTTAATAAAAAAAATATTTACCTTTTAAACACATCACCACTCCATATCATCATATTTTGCTTAGTTGTCCATAAAAATATGAGGTGTTAATATTTACCTTTTAAACACATCACCACTCCATGTCATCATATTCATCCCTTCAAACCCTTCGACCTAAAAATCATAAACCCATAAATCCTTCAACCACTTCAACCCAGATCAGAAAAAACGTGTTCATCTTCTTCCCAGAAATCAAAAGATCTTCAACCGAAGTTATGTTTTTGAGTTATAGTTTGAAATCAAGTTTCCAATTTTGTTCAAGAACACACTGAACTCGAATCTGAAATCAAGTTCATATAAGAAATCGAGAATCATGAGTGTTTGTATGTTCTTGAACAGATGAAGATGACTTTTGGGTTTGTGTTCGTGTTCTTCATCATATTTGTGTTCTTGTTGTTCATCAGATCTGAAAACCGGAATAAATCTTTTTTGTTTGTGTTCTTGAAGGTCTGATGAGCTTTAAGATGAACTCGAGTTAGGGTTTTCAAACCCAAAAATCATCGGAGTGTTGTTCCAGATCTTTTGTTCATCGTGTTCATCTTCTTTGTTCTTGGAAGTCAAGAAAGTACAAACAATGCAACACAATGTACAAGTTCGTCGATGCATTATCCTTTGAACCGGCTCAAACTCAAGAACATATATCATTATTTATCTCTCTAAAAATGATATTTAAGTGTAAGGTGTTTGATCTTCAAGCTGAATCACGATATGAAGACACCGAAGTTCATGTTCTTGAGTTCGTGTTCTTCATTAACTTCGATTTTCCATTTCTGTTCAAGAACACAACTTTGATTTCTGGGTTTTTCTTCATGTTCTTCATTAGATTTTTCGATTTATGTTCTTGAGTTCATGTTTGGTTTAGATTTCTGGTTTGGAAATGAAGTATTGTGTGTGTTTGTTGATCAAAAAATAAAAAATTAAATTATTTTAGATTTATAGTTTGAGACTCACCGGAGAAGACAACCGTAGTGTCCTCGGAGGTGGCAAATATGTCGGAAACCGGTTTAACATCCGATAGCAAGTCATAAGGATGTTATTTGAACAGTTGAACAAGTTCAATGGGAAAATATGAACAAAAAAAACATCAGTGACTAAATGTGTACAAACTGAAAAATATGTTACCCTTTTAAGTCATTATCCTTTTTTTTTTTAATTTCTTCGGTGACAAACATACTAACATCATAAAGATCTAGGGCCACAATAAATGGTAAATAATCCAACATGTTATACTTCCATTTAATTATCAGATTGATCACTGGAGCGTATCTTAAAGAGCACCTTCTTAAACATTGTTTTGTGAATGATAGCGTGTTCAACATCCTTATGTCGGGACATTTGGGGCGGCTCGTGGATCACATCCTTTAATTTGGTATATATATCATCGATATAATTGATGATAAGAAATTCTCTGTTTTAATAACTTAAAATTTAAATACCGCTTTAAATATATACATTTCTCTTTTCAATCTAAATCTAACAAGTATTTTTACAAAAAAAAAATAAAAAAATAAAAAAAATCCATCATAGATTTCCACAATGAACATGATGATATTAGAGCTATCTAAAAATGGCTACATTTATAATGCAATGGGATTATGGGAGCCTCTCCAAATCTCCAATATCTTTCTTCCGATTAAATAATACTCTTGGTAACTCTCGTAAATAAATAATTATAGTTTGTTATAATTTTGTTGTACGAAATTTCTAGATATTTTTACTCCTTAGTCCGTATAAAAGAAAACGTTTAATATATATCTTGTAACCCATGTTGTCTCCTGCAACTTCCGCCAACGGAGTTCAAATTTCTAACAAAGGACGAACACAGCAGCCGGTAACCACCCGTCCACCCGGTAACCGGTTTCCTCCTCACTACAAAAGATTTTCTGGTTTTGTTTTACTCCATTAATTCTCACAAAATGAGTGTCGGTAAGCTCGTCACTGTTCTAACCGTCATCTTCATCGTCTCCATCGTCGTTCTCGCCGCCGAACTCCTCTTCGTCCTCTGGCGCCGCCGTTACTTCCGTTGCCAAACCTCCCTACCTCCTATCTCAGGTAACAACCAACGCCCTGATCACCTCACCACCTCCCACTCCGATTCCTCCACAAAGGAGCTACTCTATTTCTTCTGCTTAAAATCCCAGACACGGGTGGAGCCATCGGAAACTCCGACGCCAACTAGGTCGTCGCCGGAGGATCCTGTGATCGACGTTTTTAAGCTGTTGGAAGAAAACGGACCCTCGAGGGTTCTTTGTACGATTAAAGAAGACGAGAGGGAAGACGTCGAGTCAACGTCCATGTCCCGTGTTAACTCCGTCGAGATAACGGTGGCTGAGAGAGTGTCTTTGCAAACGTGTCTTGAGTCTGAGGCGGCGGAGGAGATCGGTTTGAACATTGGTGACATAAAGACGGCGGTCTCGTCGCCGTGTGATTCGCCGATCTTTTTTACTCCGGTGGGATCTCCGCCACGAGATGTTATGTGTTTGTAGTTTGTTTTTACGGCAACCGGAAACAAGGGTGGTTATGTCAGGTAAACGCATGTGTGTAAAGTGTAAACGATAGTCTAGTTTTGTACTATTGGCTTCTTGATATGTACGTTTGATGTTGACTCTTTGATGTCCGATCTTATAAGCATACTTTATTGGATATATATATAACCCATTAAGTTCATTTAGGTTTAAGCTCGTTATATAGCAATATCATATGGTTGAACTTGATTAAATTGTTAACATTTAACAAATTGTAAACGTTTTCATATGATATGTTTCATCTTTAAAATTTTGTTTCAAACTACATTATATATTCTAGTCTTTTAACTTTTAAGAATGAAAAAACATATTAAAAATGTAAGACCCAAGGGAAACATCAACCATTCATGCTCATTGCTCGGAGCACGAAAGCTTGCATTCAATTTTGAGTACATACCCGTACCCATATGGGTAGATGGAAATTAATGTTTGTAGGGTGAACTTCTATTATGTAATTGGTTCGTTAAATCATTATTATACTAAACATAAATTCTACTAAAAATAATCTTTCAAATATCTAAATAGATTGTTATGCGCCTTTAGGAAATACATGTAACTAACATATCTATAATATATTGAATTTTATAGAGTTTAATAAATTTTCACATCACCATGTCCTAAAAGATTGTAGGGTGTACGGTTGCATATACACCCTAAAAAATTAGGGCCCGAGTTTTCATGGAATTATCTATTTATAAATATATATTATTTTATCTAAATAATTGAAATGCTTATAGATGCTCGTTCGATTCGTACTTATATATTATTTTTAAGTAAATCACTTCATATAAATACTTTTAAGGCTAAACGGCGTGGGAGGTATTTGTGCCGGCAACATCCGAAGTGGAGGGTGTTGCTGGCTGCAAACACCACCCCATGATACAATTTGTTGCCAAAAACAATGTGCCGAAGGCATGTTTCTGCCGATGGAAATGTCGGTGTTTCTTCGAAATCCTTCACTACTCTCTTTTCTCTTTACCATCAAAGCCACCCATCAATACCACAAACTTTATAGGCAAATGATTGGAGTAGCATGTGGTGCCAATGATACCACAATGTATAGTTTAAGAAATATTGGGTATGTCCCGTTAAAGGGTGTTAAGATCCTATGTGACATACCATAACGATGTTATAACACCATAAACACCGTCTTGCCCTCATGTTATGGTAAATGGCGTTGACGTTATGACATATTGAAACGAGAGCATTGATTGGATGCATATGTTATCTCTCTCCATCTCTCTCATCTTAACGATGTTATAACACTATGAACACCATCTTCACTTCATGTTATAAGGTGTTATAACACCACCCTCAACGGGCCCATACCTAATAGTCTAAGTAAATCAATTCCAGAAGTAATATATTTGGCACCTTAACTTTTACAAATTTACATATAGCCATGTTTAATTAATTTATTTACTTTTTAGTTTTCCCTTTAAATTATATCTAATAATTGTATTTAAGGGTCTCATTTTTACTATTCGTATAGGGATTGTAAAACCAACGAACCGACAGTGTACATTACCATTCTATATTACATACAACTCTATCAATTTTTTCTCTTTCAATGTAAAGTTCAACAGAGCATATTTAAATATTTATTTAAAGACTATATTTTTTTTCCATTGAAGTGCTCAATGACCATTGAATTTTAAATTCGTTGAATGTCAATGTAACATCTCAGAATGAAAAAGTTTCATTCATTAAACGATAACTATGTTTGTTATCTTATTCAAATCTCTTTTTGAAATGTCTATTATGAATACTCTAAACAACGATAAAAATAGAATAAATATACATGGTATAATAAGAATTTAATAATGTATTTAGAAAAAAAAATACACGAGTGTTCAAATATATAAAAGATTGGCAACCCACGCGTTTACTTTATACCAAGCTAGTTTATAACCCGTGAGAACCACAGTTATAAAATTAATTAAACTTTCATATAAAAAATAAAAATTATTAATTAATTATTTTAAATAAATTATTACTTAAGAGATATTTTTTAGTTATATAAAATTCTAATCTTTGATTTAAATAAATACGTGAAGTTGTATCATCTTATAATATGTATTAATTTTATTTTATATTTCAATCTAATGTTATTAATTTAATATAATTAGAGTGAAAAAATTAAAAATTAAAATTAAAAATTAAGAATCAATTATTAATTTAATTTAATTAGAGTGAGAAAATTTAAAATTTGAAATGGATAATCATATATTAATTTAATGTAATTAGAGTGGAAATTTAAAATTTGAAATGGATAATTAATAGGTTGACAAGTGCCATAATAAGTGATATTATATTTATGAAAAATTAAGAGCTAATATTATAAAAGACCTTATATTTTGTGTTTTTTCCGGATTAAACTTCAACTTTATTTTTTTTCCTGAAAAAAACCTTTCATTTTTTATTTTTTTAGATATGGACCTTTTACTCTTTTTTTTTCCCAAAAAAACTTGTAAACATGGGTTTTTTTTTTGGAAAAAAATAAAATAGTTGAAGGTTTTTGCGGAAACAGTTAGAAGGTTAATGATTTTATCGAAAAAAAAAATACAAAGTTCAGGGTTTTTTTTTGAAAAAATGAAAAAATACAATGTTTTTTTTATGAAAAAATAAATTTGAGATTTAATTCGAAATAACACAAAATATAAAAAGTTTTTTATAAGATTAATATATATATATATATATATATATATATATATATATATATATATATATATATATATATTAAAGAAATGAAAGTTAGAAACAGTAAACTACATGAGAGGTTGGCAAAATTGATCCCCTGTTTATGTTTGTTTGTTTAATTTTGTCTCTGTTGTGGCTGATCTTTACAGTGGGGCATTTTATGTCATTTTCTATAATATTGGTGCATTTTATGTCGTTTTCTATAATATTGGTGGACACGTGTTCTTCTGCATTTCTTCACCGCTTTCTCTGATCCAATCAGATTCCAATTAGTGGTGGTGTTCTGCTCCCCTTTCTCATCGAAATACTCATAAAGACATCCGTTGGCACCAGACGACCTCCTACACATTTGTGCTTAGCGTATTCACCACCACCATCAGCCTACCATGTCTCTTCTGTTACACACTGTTCAGAATCTTCGGCCCCCACAAGCCCTAAAAGCACCCCACCGATCGCCGCCACCACCACCATCTCCAAATCTTCTTTGACCGCCACCGTCGTCTCCAGCGTCTCCGACACGCCCACACCAGCTCCACCACATCCTCATCAAATTATCTACAATCGTGTTGCCGAAGAAATCAAATCAAAGCTCAAGTGAATCAAAAAGCCCGACCCTAGGTTCCTCAAACACAACTCCCCTTACCACAACGTCCCTGGATTTCCATCGCCGGCCTACAGACGCCTCATCGGTTTCTCCTTCTCCACCGCGAAGCCGGCGTGCCCTGATTTGGTGTAACACTACTTAAAATTCGGCCACATACACTGCAGACGAGTCGTCCTTGGATTCCGGATACATTCAACGTCGGGTCTTCCTGTGCGATTTCTCTTCCACCGTTCCAATGTTTTGATACCAGTATCACTGCTAATGTCTCTCGCCTGTCTTCAACCACCGCTAATAATTATCAATTTTGTTTGTGAGCGTCGTCACCACAAACTTTTGGGTAGCTTCCACTTTCTTCTTCACGTATGTTGCGGTCGAAATCCATATGGAATATCTATCTTTCTTGATTTCTCTTGATTTAGTAAATTTGGTTTTGTAGTTTTTTAGGGTTTACCTTCGACTTCCCCCATCTTCTGATGTGGATGGGAATTAACATGATCAAAGCTCACAAGTAAGGCACCAAATGCATATGAAAACGACCACACCAGACCGATCGGTTCCTGTTTCAAAAATAGATGAACCCTAAAACATTGAACTTTGGTTAGCTTTTTTTTTCATCTGTTTGTCATGTTTTTTCCATTTGTTTCTTGCAGATACAGACTGCAATCATCTTCAACCCTCCTAAACCATTGAACTTTGGTCAGTTTTTCATTCTATCAAAGATTCATCTTCACGCCATTAGCACTTGATTTCTTTTTCTGCATTAGCTCGGATTGAAACTAATAAAGCAGAAAAATAGGTATAGTTTGTTATTGATTATTTGTTTTTTTTTCAATTGACTTCTTATAGGAAAAGCTCTACATGTTTCGAATTGCTAGTTTTGTAAGCTCTGCTTCTACTGCTGGTTCTAATTATGAATCACTTTTTATTTTGGTAATCCATGTGCAAGGTAGAGATGTACATGTGGGGTAAAATAAAGCTTATTGGTGATAAATGGATGTACCCTAAACCTCTCACGCATCTAAGGTTTTGACTCTTTGTTGACCTTTCTTCTTTAAATCATATTTTCCCAACATATTTTAGCAAGATGAGATACTGATTTTTAATTTTTAATCATTTTTAAGAAGACCATATAGTATTATGTTAGCCAAAAGAGTTGTGCTAAATCTTATGCAAAGAATGAGTTGCATAGCCACACTCACAAAGGTAACAATAACATCTCCATAATTTTATAAAAATTAACAATACTACATAATAATCTACAACCATTAAAAAATATTAGTTTTTTTAATTGTTATAGGCGATGCTAGAAGCTGAAAACCCTGTGTGCATATTGGAAACAACAAAAACTGTACCAACATTATGTTGGATAACTGGGCGGTGTTCTTTTACTTTTTTACCCTTTGATCTTATTTACAAAAACCTTAATTTTGTGACAACCCCATTTTCGCGGCCAGAAAAGACCGATTTTGTTTATGATTTATAAAAATCAGAGTACTTCTTTTGATAAAAATGTTGCGGAATTTGTTCCCAGTAAAACATGATAAATACGTTATCAAAGCATTTCCGAAGAAATGTATTTTTATTCATTTTAAAACATTTGGGATGTCATCGTCAATACAGAAACATAAGCATAAACAGAACTTACATTCATTATCAC